AATGTTGAACCATCTCATTTGACATTCCACCAAACACAATATCATCAACATAAATATGTGAAATCATGATCATCCATTCTTCTTCCTTGACAAAAAGAGTTTTGTCTATGCCACCTTTCCTGTATCCATCCTCACCAAGAAATTCTGTCAATCTCTCATACCAAGCTCTTGGAGCCTGCTTTAATCCATACAGAGCTTTATTCAGTTTGTAAACATGTTTAGGAAAACTTGGATCAAAAAATCCCTTAGGTTGTTCCACATAAACTTCCTCATTCAGATAGCCATTTAAGAAGGCACTCTTTACATCCATTTGAAACAATTTAAATTTTAGAATGCATGCAACTCCTAAGAGTAGTCTGATTGATTCAAGTCTTGCCACATGAGCAAAGGTTTCATCAAAATCAACTCCTTCAATTTGAGTGTATCCTTGTGCAACTAATCTTTCCTTATTTTTAGTAACCACCCCTTTTCATTAGATTTATTCTTGTACACCCATTTAATGCCAATCACATTTGTCCCTTCAGGCCTTGGAACCAGATCTAAAACTTCATTTCTACTAAATTGTTCTAGCTCTTCTTGCATAGCATTAATCCAGAACTCATCAGTTAAGGCTTCTTTGAAATTATTAGGCTCAATTTTTTAAACAAAGCAAGATTTTGATAACCCTTCTCTTGATCTAGTAGTAACTCCTTTATTTAGATCTCCTATGATAAGCTCCTTAGGATGATCTCTCCGAGTTCTAATTGAAGGCCCTTTATTGAGATGACTGGGTTCAGGATCTTCTTAAGGTGGATTAGAATCAATACTTCTGTCATTGGATTCTATTAGAATATCAGAGAAATATGTTCCAACATCTTCTAAGACAACTTCTTCATCATTCCATCCTCTATCATCAATAATTACATTTATGGATTCCATCATAACCTTGGTTCTGGAGTTAAAGACTCTGTAATCTCTACTAATTTTAGAGTAACCCAGGAATATTCCTTCACCACTCTTGGGATTCATCTTCATTCTCTGCTCACAGTCTGCTAAGATGTAACATTTACTTCCAAAAAACATGAAAGTATTTGACAATAGGTTTTCTTCCCTTCCATATTTCATACAATGTGGCTGAGGTGCCTTTCCTTAGAGTGGATCTATTACGGATATAGTATGCAGTATTCATAGCTTCAGCTTAAAAGAGGTAGGGTAACTTCTTAGCATGAATCATAGCTCTGGAAGATTCTTGAAGGGTTCTATTTTAGCGTTCCACAATCCCATTTTGCTGAGGAGTAATAGGAGAGTAAAACTATTGACTGATTCCTTCAGAAGAATAAAAATCAACAAATTTATTATTCTCAAATTCCTTTCCATGATCAGTTCTGATTTTGATGACATGACTATCTTTTTCACTTTGAAGTTTTTGACAGAGATCTTTAAAAACTTCAAAAGTTTATGATTTTTCTTTGATAAAACTTATCCATGTGTACCTAGAGAAGTCATCTACAACAACATAGGCATACTTCTTTCCACCAAGACTTTCAACCTCCACAGGTCCCATCAAGTCCATGTGAAGAAGTTCTAAAACTTTTGATGTAGTGAGATGTTGGATCTTCTGATGTGACATCTTAGTTTTCTTTCCAATCTAGCATTCACCACATCCTCTCCCTTCTTCTATCTTGAGCTTAGGAATCCCTCTCACGGCTTCAATAGATATGATTCTTTTCATTCCTTTCAGATGCAAGTGTCCCAATTTTTGATGCCACAATTTAACTTCATTTTCTTTGGCTAAAGCACGTGTTGAGGAGAGGCTCAACTCTTGGGGAACCCATAAATAACAATTGTCTTTAGATCTGATTCCTTTCATAATACTTCATTATTCTCATTGCAAACGAGACATTCTTCCTTGGTGAAGTTAACTTTGAATCCTTGATCACATAGTTGGGTTATACTTATTAGGTTAGTTGTTAACCCTTTAACAAGTAACACATTAACAAGTTTTGGGACTCCTGAACATTCTAGATTTCCAACTCCTTTGATTTCACCTTTAGCTCCATCACCAAAAGCCACATAACTGGTAGAATGAGATTTCATATCTACCAATAGATTCTTGACACCTGTCATGTGTCTAGAACAACCATTGTCAAAGTACCAGTCATCTTTGGTTAATACTCTGAGACAGGTATGAGCTATGAAACTAGCAACATTAGACTTGGGAACCCACTGTTTCTTCTTTTTGCTATTTTGAGAGATCTGATCAGTCTTGGGAAGAGGAGTAGTTTTAGGATACCCATACAACTTGAAACAGAAAGGTCTTATGTGACCAAACCTTCCACAGTGATGACACCTCCAGGGCTGGGATTTCTTTCTGGTGTGAGTAAATTTTTTTTTACTATGATATTTCCCATGATGTTCAGACATTTGATTCGACATCTCTGGTTTAGACTTGGCATGAGTGTAATTTGATAAAGGTTCTTCTGAAATAGTTTCCTTTTTCTCGTTAAACCCTAGACCACTCTTGTCTCCTGTCACTCTCCCCACTTGAAGAATTTGATCTAATGTGTCAGACCCATTATTCAGGATCTTGAGAGATTTGATAACTCTATCAAGATTTGAATTCAGAGAAGTCATTTCACTTTCCAGATTAGAAATAGTTTTCAAATGCCCTTTCCTTTCTTCCTTCAGTTGAGTTATGAGTGCTTTCTGTTTCTTCCCTTCTAGGCAAACTTCTGTACTTCTGAGACACAGTTCTTTGTACGAGGCATCTAGCTCATCAAAGGTTAGTTCTCCATCACTAGAATCTTCATCAAACACATATTTTCTTGTCAATGCTTTAACATGCTTTGCAGATTCCTCTTCAAGATCACTCTCAGAATCCTCTTCAGACCAAGTAACAAATGAATTCTTCTTCTGTTTCTTAAGATATGTAGGACATCCAGCTCTAATGTGACCAAAACCTTCACATCCATGACACTGTATTCCCTTCCCTTGAGTGGATTTTTCTTCGGCCCTTTTTCTTCCAAACTCATTTGACTTAAGGACGTCAGATGAGATGTTCTTAACATTTGATCTTGGATTCATATTCATCCTTTTTATCACTTTGTTAAACTGTCTTCCAAGCATAATTAAGGCATTAAATATTCCTTCACCTGTATCCAAATCATAAGCCTCCTCTTCATCTTCAGTATTGGTTATAAAAGGTATTCTTTTGTTCTTCTTTTCAGGTCTTTCATTGATACTTAATTCAAATGTCTGAAGTGATCCAACAAGTTCATCCACTTTCATCTTGTCAATGTCTTGTGCTTCTTCTATGACAGTCACTTTCATATCATATCTCTTGGGAAGAGACCTAAGCATCTTTCTCACCTATTTGTCTTCTGGAAGTTTTTCTCCTAAAGCACTGGCAGCATTAGCAATCTCAAGAATGTTCATATGGAAGTCATTAATTCTCTCATCGTCAATCATTATCAGATTTTCAAATCTGGTGGTGAGCAATTGAAGTCTTGACATCTTCACTTTGGATGTGCCTTCACGGGTAGATTGAAGAATCCCCAAGGCATCCTTAGCTACTTCACATGTGTTCACTAATCTAAAAATGTTCTTGTCAATTCTATTTAATATAACATTCAAGGCTTTAGAATTTCCAAAAGCAATTTCATACGGTGTTTCTCCATTTGATACGTTGTTTCCATCCTTTTAAGACATCTTTCCAAATCCTGCTGTCTAGACACTTTAGAAAGGCCACCATACGTGGTTTCCAATAGTCATAATTGCTTCCATCCATAATGGGTGGTGTGCTCACAAATCCTTCTTCCTTGTCCATAGTACCAGAAAGTATCTTCCCTAGATCTCACCTAGATATAGAGCAGGATGTCTGCTCTGATACCAATTGAAATTCTGGTATCAGATATATGATGTCGAAGGAGATGTCACGACACAAATATCTGAGGACAATATAAAATGCAAAAATATTAAAAGTAATAAAATCACAAGGGATTGTTAACCCAGTTCGGTGTACAACAACACCTATTCTGAGGGCTACCAAGCTAGGGACAAGTCCACTAAATAGTATCAATTCATAGACTCTCAGTAAACAACAAGTTTACGATCTAATCACTTAATCACTACCCGTGCTATACTTCTAACTAAGACACACCTAGGTATGAGGCCCTCCTCAAATCCCTTCAATCACTAACAGTGAAGAACAACATAATTATTAAGTTTTAAAGACTTCAATCATTCAATACTTAAAAGCTTATGAATGATGCAAAATTAACAACTCAAATTACAACTCAAGTATTAAACCAATACTTAGAGTGTATTACAATTAAAAAGACTTAGACTTCTAAAACAGAAAGAATATATTCTTCTTCAAAAGTTGGAGTCCAATGAATAAGGATGCAAGTCCTTATAAAGGCGAAGCAGTAGGCTTGGGCTGAAAAACCAATATTCCATCCCTTGAATATTTCCATGAAAACAGATCAAGATATAATCCATAAAGATAATACAGATCGAAAAATATTCCTCCATATTTTTGGCAAGCTATGAGTCACAAATCTTGAATAATAGCGCGCATAATAATAGGAAACAGAGTATTGGAATCATGTTCTGATCAGGAGGCAGATGTCAAGATATCTGCTTTGACATCATTAAAAAAAACAATTTGCTATCAAATTAGTATTTTACCAAAATTACTGCCAACAAACACTTACACTAACTAACTCTCTAACTAAAATTTTAACCAACTCTCTAAGTTAGTTAACCATTACATCTTCATCATTATTTATATTATATGTATCATTATTCACAATACTACTATGAATAAATATAATTGTAAATGTGACATTATTCAGCTCAAACCCTAGTATTCACTGACATGTGATAAACTTAAACCTATGAACAACCACACATACACATTCTGTAATCATAAACACAGTTTTAATTTATTGAAATTTGAAACCATAAATAGTTATACAACAATAAATTAGAGTTGGATACATTTTCTTAGTATTTAAAAATCACCTGACTAATTCTTGAAGCTTTTCACAGAAACCATCAACACATGATGACTCAAAATCATTGCTTAATAAGAGGTTCCTCATTTTAGCATGATTAGCCCTAACTTCAATACCAGTTTCATTCTTATCATCCATCACAAGTTTCACAGCTTCACAAATACTTTGTTTTGTGAACAATCCATCTTCTTCACCCTTGTTCACTTCAACTCCAACCTTCAAGTCCCTACTCATAATTCTTGCATTAATGATATGATCACTGTCTAAATGTGGCATCAACACTATCTCACAGTTATTTACTAACCCTTCTGTCAAGGAACCAGCGCCACAATGTGTTACAAAACAACCAACAGAAGGGTGTTCCAAAATTAATTGCTGTTGTATCCATTCGCTATGAACAATCCCTTTCTCCTTCACTCTTTCCTTAAACCCTTCTGGAAAAGCATCTTCAATCGTCTCGAAACCTATAGGAGGTTTAAGAATTGCCAAAAAAGGAAAGCCTGTTACCTCAAGTCCTAACAACAATTCATGAAACTGATATTCTGATAATTTCCATTCACTTCCAAGGGCACAATAAACTATTGAACCATCCTTGAATCCACCAAGCCAAGATCCCCATTTTTCATCTAAAACAGTTTTTGGTGGTTCAGGTAAAACAGGTCCTGAAAGAAAAACAGGTTTACCAAACTCTTGTTCAAGGTAATCAATATAAGGCCCTTCAATTTCTCTACACCCTTTGAACCCAATTGCATCAGTTAAGTTCAAACCATTATAAACCCTATCATAGAAAAGAACCCCACTTCCAAATTCAAAGTTTCTTTTTAAAGCAAGGAACTTTGCTTCATGAGAATAAAGATTGAAAGATGAACTAGGGTACCCTTTTGGAGGTTTCATAAGATCAAGTTCAGTCAATTTTATACCCTCACACATCCTTGATGGAGAAATTGTGTATGAAATTGTTGCTGGATTAACAATGAAGTATTGAAAAGATTTGATTTTTAAACGTTGAGTTATTTTTGGTAGCCAAAAACTGAAATCAAAGAAAACAATATTAGGGTTTAGTTGAGTGAGGAGAAGTTCAACTTGGTTCTGTGTTTGATCCATAGCTGTCATTATGAGTGGACCTAAAGCTAAAGATACATCTGAGGTTGTTTCAGCACCAAAGGGAAGTCCATCAACGTGAGGAACATTGAGAGGGAAGAAGGTTATGAGGTTTGGATAGAGATTGAAGTGTTCTAACTTGGTTTGTGTTTTCTTGGGAGTAAAGAATGAGATTTTGTGTCCCCTTTTTGCTAATTTGTTTGACAGATGAAGATATGGAGTTAGGTGTCCCATTGCAAACCATGGAAACAGTGCTATGTGCAAAGAAGAAGCTTGATCCATGCCTTCTTTGTAGAAACACCTATTTGCAATGTCTATGCTTATATATATATATATATATATATATATATATATATATATATATATATATATATATATATATATATATATATATATATATATATATATATATTCATGTCTCTTTCATCTTTTGTAGCCTTACTTAAAATAATGTGTATGCATGTTCTCACATAGTTGAATATTTTACACCAATGATTATATGTATTAAATTTTTGTTAACTTTCTCTTTTTCTTTGTAGATTTCTATTTTATTTGTATATGATGACTCATAATTATTGTTTATATGCCTCTCCTTTTCTGAATTTGAATAAATTATTATTCAAAAGTAGATTTATCACGTTATGTATAGTTTTTTAAAAAATAAAGTCATGTTTTTTTTAGTAGTTTTAGTCTTGCTCTATAATTGAATATTTTATTCACTTTAGAGTTTTTCTATTAAATTCTAAGTCAGTATTATGGTAAGATTGATTTTGGATAATATATATCCAAACGACAAATATACATATAAGAGTTAGATCTTATCCAAAAAAAACCAAGAGACATACTAAATGTTACGTTCTGAATCGAAATCAAGTGTGCATGTGTACATAGCAAGGAATCTTGTATCGGTTGTGCTAATTTTAGATATGGTGGCGGCAGAGGTGGATCTGCAAGATTAGTATTCTAATGTTTAAACTAGTTTAAGTTTTATGATGAGTTAAGTAAAACATGGAGTTCATAAAGTGTACAGTGAATTTTCTGTGTGATGACTTTTATACCTTAGGTCAATTGTAGTGATTGACATTAGTTTGAGCCTTGGACTTTTGTGTATTTGGGCAGCCCAGAATAATTTCCCAAAGACTTGTCGGTCGGTTATGAGCCGAGGAAGTCTTAGCAGTTGTGGCCGACCATTGAGGATGTTGTTCACTTTAGGTAAGAAGTTAAAACTTCTTGTGTCAGTTGCAAAAGTAGTGGGGACAGGTGCATTAAATGTCTTCTCATCATTAAAAAAAATCGCTTCTCTTTTCTTATGTGTCATTTGAGGTGACTAGTTAGGGCATGGTGTTGCATATAGTGCACTCGAGTGCTTCGAGTTTGATTACATTTTCAAGAAGGAATTCATCTGTATATTTTGTAACCTCTCGCTTCCGTTAATCATGTTTGTTGCTAGCCTTTGCCTATATATGTCGACTTTCGAGTGTTGATGAGACTTTTTGCAATTCTTGAGAGTCAATTTCTTTTTTAGAGTGCTTCATTATCTTCCTCCACAAGACTAGTTACCATAATAGTTGTTGTTCCTTGCTCAAAGCTCCCATTTCTCCTCCATTGCATTTGCTTTTTTGTCAGCTTCCTTTATCAGGTGCCCTTGTTACCTAAAGCTTTTAATATCTTCAACATTTCCTTTACCTTAATAAATATGAGTGGTAGTCCTTTTATCTTTCCTAGTGTTGCTGAGAGTGATGCATCTCTCATAGAGAGAATGAGATTAACTTTTGATTCAAAATCTTCCCTTTCATTTATGATCACCTGGGTCCTGAGGTCATAGTGAAAATCGATGATTTAGAACCTTGAAGGTCTTCTATGGGCTCTTTAAAAGAATGAGCTTCCTCTAGGGATTCTTCTTTTGATGCATTCTTCTTCGATGACTATGTGAAAGCAGGTCATACGGTTACTGCCATGCCCCTTTCTTCTCATACTGTTGGAACTTCTACTTCTCTTTCTTTGTTGACTCTAGAAATACATGTTGCTAGCCTAAGAAGTTAGAGTTGTAGAGATTATATCCAGTCTTATCGAAAAGCCTACAATCAAGACCCTAGTAATTATGACATCAAGAACCATCTAGAGGGCAAGGGTGGGTCTAATTAAGTTTCCTGGCTTAAACCTTTTGAGAATTTTAAGGTTGATGATCTATCCTTAAAAAGGGTTATGTTGGTGGATTCGGATTACACAATCAAATATAATTGGGAGGCCGCATAAATAGTAAGGACCCCTTCTATTTTAAGTACTGGGGAGGTTATAAACGCTGCCAACATCGCGTTCGATTTCCCTTCAAATTGGCCAGTCCTTTCTGAGGACTTGGAAAAAAAGATATGCAACTCTTTTGACGGATGTTCAGTTCCATTTTCTGAGTGTATGTTCACCAAAATAGGTTTATGGTTGCTTCTATTTGAGTTTGAGGCAACCGTATTGAGGAACTTGAAGGTTGTCCCCTCTCAGATTTTGTTCGGCTCTTGGAAAAATATAAAGATGATCCAATTTTGGGGCGAGTATAGGTCTTTGAAACCTTCGCCTCTACCGTTTTTCAATTTATTCCATGTTGTACATACCTCCTAAAATGATATGCGATATCAAGGCCTTATTGAGCTTTGTCATAATCTTCCCTAGCTTGTCCTTTTCACTAATAACTAAGAAGATTTCCTAAGGTGCTCCATGCTAGTGAGGCCCCATACTCCTAAGGCTCATCTTGCCTTCTGCTTAAGCCCAACCGAGTCCTCCCATTACTGTAAGAGCAAGTTTCTAAAGTATTGGTCCTAACATCATTTCAGCTCTGAGCCCCACTCTTACAACATCGAACTAGATTCTATCTTTGTTGAAGCAATGATGACGAGGACAGATCTGGAGTCTCTATACCAGGTGCATGGCTATGAAGAAGGGTTTGACTTTGGTGAAGTGTTGTCTTCCTTGTAGAGGAAGAAATCTATTGATATTCACAATTTAATGCATATAGTCGATCGCACAAAGAGGAAAGATATCTTTGGTAAGGGTGAAGTCCTGTTATTTATTTATTATTTTTATTATCATGTTAACCTGTGTGGATGTACTTTAGAGATAACATTGACTAGTTGAAAATGGCCTTCGTTATTGCCTCCATTTAGAGTGTCAAACATGGTCCTACTAGTCGGGATGTTACACCTTCCCCTACATGTAATATGCCTTCATCTATTGTTAAGTCTACTAAGGCTACCTCTGAGGCTAACCAAGTTACTCCCCTCGCTTCCACTCTAACTACAGGGGATTAACCATGACTTTCTGTTTCTCTAGCTAAGAGAGGTCAAGATATGACTAGAATTATCCTCAGGAAGATGATACCCTAAACGGTTTCATCTTACCGGGGTACTACTTTTGAATTGGCTACTCCTCTTCTTATATTATCCGCCAATTTTTTTTCCTTGATCCCCATACTCCTGACAAAGTAGTTGTTGTTATTGTTGTACCCCAAAATTTTCCCTCCCATTTTCTTCAAGATACCTTCTCATGCTTCTAGGGTATTCAATTGCTCAAAGCTACTCAAGGTTGGACCAGACAAACCCTCCTCCTAAACAGTTAACCTACAACTAAGGTTTTTCTTTTATCAAGGAAAATTGAGCTTATAATGCCTCAAGTGGATTTCATGGTTCCTTATATGTTTCAAGGAATGCTCATGCCAAATTTCAAGCCTTGCATCACAAGTTTGTTCAGTCAATTATTCAGATGACTAAAAATCAACTATATTGGACAAAAAGTCAATTGTAGTCAACATACAGTCAAGCTTCAAGGTTTTTGGTCAAGATCAAGATTTTGAAGTCACATTCATTATTTTATCAAGGTTTTATCATGATTCATCAAGAAAACTCAAGATTTATCAAAAGTCAAAAGTTATTAAATTAGGGTTTTCTTAAGGAGAAGACAACTGAACTTTGACCAAATATAACTTTCACATGCTTCATCAGATTTTTATCAACCAAAGCTTATTTTGAAGGAATTCAATTCTCTATAACTTGGTCTCTCTAAGCTCAAGTCCAAAAAATGCTTCATTTGAGACATATGGGGCAAAACATTATAGGTCATTTCAAAAGTCAACAAAAGGACACTTTTTGTCAAGGCAACTTACATTAAGATAAAGTCTTCAAATGCAAAAATAATAAACATAGAGATTATAGAGGACATCTTGAGCTTTCCAAAAAGTCAAAGATCACCTTCATACGATAAACATTGAGAGTTATGATTGATGTAAGTTGGGAAATTTTGAGAAAATGCATGAAACCTAAAGTGACCAAACTTGAGTTTTCAGGATAGTGGGCTGATGTTTCAAGGTCCAAACATGCATAAGACCTCATTGTGAACCTTTGAACTTATCCATGCACCCCTTGGGTTTTTATTCTATTTATTTTGATTTTTATTTATTTAAAGTCAAAATTAAAAGGATAAAATAAAAAGCTTTCATACAAGGTCCAAGCCCACATTTGTTTGACCTAATCCATCTATATATATTCATATTATTTCAGACAAGAGAACACACGGAACCCTTGCACGAGAAGCCTCTCCAAAAATCTCAAAAAATCTCAAAAATTAGGGAAAATCAAGAACCCTAGTTGCAGCCACTTTCAAAGCAAACCAACCTTTCCAAGAGACCTCTGAAGTGTTGTAGGATAAGATTAGATCGGTTGTAATGATCTAAAGGGCCTGAAAAACATGAACATGCATCACCGTTTTACATTTCTTGCATGAATTTGAATTTGAATTTTCTTTACGTTTTAATGCATACTAACGATACTAACTTGTTTCTGAAGTATAACAATGCAGGTTAGACCCGTCGTGTGAGCCCCATGACGATCGAACTATGAACAACCATGTTTATATCGTTTCATGATATTTTTGCTATATCTCACAATACAACGTGAATCAACCCAAACTAGAGCCACCGATGGATTCGCAAGGGTCAATTTAGGGGAGTAGGGACCTTTTTGTGCATTAACGTGCATCATTTTGCGGGTTTTAAAAAATAACTCACCATAGAAGACGACCGGAGCTAGGGCTCTGGCGCCTCTCCGGTCCATCCATTTTTGTTTATAATATATTTGTTTGTTTCTATTATACAACCAGATGAAACAGCCACCCCAGTGGCAAGCGCGCGCATGATAAGGCATTCGTGTATCAAGGTGTGGGTTCGATCCTGCCTTTTGGCATTTTGTTTTTCATAATTTTCTAATTCTTGTAAGTTTACTACATTGCGTGCAAATTAT